TATAATATCTATAAATATATAAATATAAATATATTAATATATTATAATATATTATATAATATAAAATTATATAATTATATAATATAAAATATAATATAAATATAATCATTATATGTTTATATAATATATATATTATATAATATAAATATATTTTATATAATATATTTATATCATATTTAAATATATGGACATAATACTATAAATATAAAAACTTAATATAAATTATATTTAATTAATAATATATTATTCAATAATATATTATAATTAATAATATATAATAAAATATATTGATAATATATTATAATATATCATAAATAATAAAATAATAAATAATAAATCTAATCAACAATTTAATATAAATGTAATATATTTATAAATAAACTTAAATAAAATTATATTTATATTATATTTATATTAATATATATTATATATATTATAATATATTTAATATAATATGTCATATATTATAAATATATATAATATAATCATAATATAAATAGATAATATTTATATAAATAAATAATATAATATATTTATATATAAATATATAATTGTATATAAAAATAATATATATTTCTATATACATAATAAATAATATAAAATTTTTATATGTAAGATTTATATGTATAAAATAATATATTTATATATTTATATATAAAATATATATTACATATTATTTAATAATATAAATATAAAATAATATATAAATATAAAATATAAATATAAAATAATATATAAATATAAAGAAATTATATAATAAATATATATTTATATATAAAATAATATATATTAATAATATATAAATAATATAAGTAATAAATTTATATGTAAATTATGTATATAAATAATATACAAATAATATATATATTTATATGTGTAAATAAATAAAAATAGTATATAAATATAAATAAATAAATAATATTTATATAATATATAAAAATGAATAATATATAATATATTTATATACAAATGAGAATATAGATATATATATAAATATATAAAAAATATAAATAAGAGAGAGACTAGAAAACGAAATACTTTACATCTGTCCAGTTATCAAATGGGTTGTCTGTGTGGTAAATTTCCTATTGTTTTAGGGACATGTGGATTTGGAGGGCAGGGCAATGCTCTCTTGGACGTGGAGAAGCAAAATGTGGGTTTCCCATCTCAAGAATACTCTCATCCCAATATCTTTGGTCAGTAGCAAGCAGTCATTAACTCACAAGAATATTCCTTGAATCACTTGGTGCTGGAAGCCCCAGTTCCCAGACGGAGAATCACTCCCATCATTTAAGCTGTAAGCGACAACTTCCACCAGATGGCGCTATGGGATAGCTGGGCTCGGAACGGATTCGGCTTCTGCAGAGTTACCTGTAAACCGCGCAGGCTCTATTCGGTCATCTCGCCAACCTCCCAATTCCAGCATTCTGCATTTTGCATTTTGCATTTTGATTGAAAATTTTAGCTCCACTTATGGCTTATGACAGGGGCTTTACTATGCATGTATAAGGCTAGGTCATAAATAGTACAGAAAGAAACAAAATACAAAAATCTCTTTCCCCCATTTCTATCTCCACCGTTATTCCTTCAAAACTGTTCATTGCTTCTTGGATTCCCTCCAGAAAAGAACATTATTCATACGCTTGAAGGTAAACTTCTGCATGTATTTTTTCTCTCTGCGGTTTCTGCTTATACATGAGTTTATGGAAAAGGGACCATACTGACTCAGTTTTAGAGCATGCTTCCATATTCGCACACCTTCGAGATATTTCCATACCGACATAGATATGCTTCTCACGTGATTCCACTTTAGTCATAATTTATTTTGATTATTATACATTTTCCACATTTTATTTTGCTTGTTTCCAGTTTTTAGTTATTATTTGGAACAACGCTGTAATGAGTGTTTTTGGTAAACGCTGTTGAGAATATCCGTAGGCTACACTCCTTGGTGGAGTTTAAACGTCTTGGTGGGGGAAGGTTGAGGGCATTTCACATTTGATGGCTATAGTCAAACTGCCCTCCAGGAACGCCGCACGCTCACCACTGCTCACTGTAGTAAAACGTCTGCATTTGTGTGAGCTTCGTAAGTGAAGCATGTTGCCTCCCTGTTTGGACCTAAAGGTTCTTTAATTCTGAAGGAGTTTCAGGGCGGAGCGTGAGCTTCGCGCGCCCGCCTGGGAGAAACCCTACGCGGTGCCCTGACTCCTCCTGTCCAGCAGGTGGCGCGGGCCCGGCGCTCCCGCATGCGCAGTGCGCTCGGTGTCAGTCGCCGCCGAGCCCGGTCGCTGGCCCGGCTCTCCCGGCTATCTCGCGTAGACCGGGCGCCTGGGGTGGCGGCCGGCGAGTCGGCGCGATCCTTCCCGGGCGGCCGTGGCCCGCGCCCTGCGGCATGCCCCGGTGACCGAGCGTGGGGCCAAGCGGGAGGCAACCGTGGCCGAGGTAAGAGCGGCGAGGAAGGGCCTCCGGGACCGCGGCGGAGTCGGGCCCGGCCGCCGGGAAGGGCGGGCCGCGCGGAGGCCTGAGGACGGCGAGGGGCGACCCCATCCCCGCCGGGGCCGCTCGCGACGTCTTCCGCTGTGGGAACGCTTGGATGTCCGCACCGCCTGGTCCCCTGGCCCGCCCCGCGCTTTGCTGCCCACCTGTCTCCCTTGCCCACGCCCACCCCCGCCCGCTCCTTTCGTCTCCCGGGACCCCGCAGCTGCCTTTCCCGCAGGGCCCACCCTGCGCCGGGACCTCTGCCGTCCCGCTGCCCGTGGCCTGTGGCAGCCCGTGCGGCGCAGGATGCCAGGGCAGGGCTTGGGGCCCCAGGCTCCCAGCGCGGAGAAAAGACTGGGTGGGGAAGGTGGCCAGGGGAAGGTGCCCTGGCTTTGGGCATCGATTCAAAGCTTAGAGGCATTTACCAGACCAGACCAGTTTTGAGACTTAGATGATTGCTGGGTGTGACTTACTGGGAACTGCTACTCTAGAGAAGGGTCCTTGACTTACTACTGGTCTGAAGATGCCTTGAAATAGAAATATGTCCGTTTTAATTCTTCGAAGGCAGTTGAGCGCTCTAAGGATTTGCACTGGGCTTGGTTTGTAAATTTCAGGGCTCAAAGGCTCTTCGTGGTAATATATGACTCAGTTTCCAGCATTCCTCACTTCTGCTGACTTAAGTGTCTTGTTTGCATGGTCTGGTATGAATGGATAGATTTGGGTCCCTCAATTATGCTGCCTTTGCTAATTGAGGAGTGAAAAAGTTAAATCTAGTTTATGCTTTTGTAGGTAATTGGGGGGAGGCTTGGAGGTTAGTAGGACCGGCTCCAGAGTCAGATGCCATCCTCCAAATCCTAGCCTTGACATTTTCTAGTTTTGTAACATTGTTCAAGTTACTTAGCCTTCCCCTTGCTCTTACCCTGCCTGGAGAATGAGGATAATAATAGCTTGTCCTGTGGCACTGTTTAAAGATTGAATAAGTTAACACAAAGTGCTTAAAACAGATGCCTGTAGTAAGTCCTCAGTACAGCTTACTTATTAGTTATAGTGTAATTCCCACAATCAAAGAAACACTTTTTCTTTTCCCATTGGAAACCATTTTTAGGGATGGTTAGCCCGCATATAACTTTAATTATAAAGAACCCTATCAGGTGAGGCGCTGAATCATGGAGCTTCCTGCTTTTGCTAATATTTGGTTCCCTTGTTTTCAGACATGGTGGGGTTAAGTTCCAGTATTGGAGTGGTCCTAGGAATTCAGTTGTGAGGGCTTTTCTAAAAAGGTTAAGATGAGATTGTAACTCAAAGCATGGGACTAAATGGATCAGATATAGCCGGGAGCACCGAGGAGAGGTTTTTCAGGCACATTTTTGGAATAAATAACTCGAGGAACAGAAAATGTGTCTCATTCTGACCGTAGAGAGGAGTTAAAAGATTTTTCCAGTGACTCAGTGTTTGACAGCTAGCCAGATGATTCCAGTGTTTTGCAGGGACAGGTTTGCTGTGTTTCAAGGTTAAGTTTGTAGGGCTTTGCTGTGAAATCCTTGTTTCATATAGGTTATGGTGTTATGCGGGACATTAATTAGTAGAAGAATCCTTTCAGTTCTCTTCCAAGAAGCTCACTGTCAGGGCCTTTGAATGTGGTGGTGGTAGCACGAGTGTCCGCTTTGGTTTTTTTGTTTGTTTGTTTGTTTTGTTTTTTAATATATAATGTATTATTTGTTTCAGGGGTACAGGTCTGTGACTCATCAGTGTTACACAATTCACAGCGCTCACCATAGCACACACCCTCCTCAGTGTCCATCACCCAGCCACCCCATCCTTCCCACCCCCGCCTCTACTCCAGCAATCCTCAAGTTTATTTCCTGAGATCAAGAGTCTTCTATGGTTTGTCTTCCTCTCTGGTTTTATCTTGTTTCATTTTTCCCTCCCTTCCCCTATGATCCTCTGTCTTGTTTCTCAAATTCCTCAGATCAGTGAGATCATACAATAAATTGTTTTCCTCTGATTTTATTTCATTTTGCGTAATAGCCTCTAGTTCCTTCCATGTCGTTGCAAATGGCAAGATTTCATTCTTTTTTGATGGCTGCATAATACTCCATTTTGTGTGTGTGTGTGTGTGTGTGTGTGTGTGTGTATCTATATATCACATCTTCTTTATCCATTTATCTGTTGATGGACATCTGGGCTCTTCCTATAGTTTGGCTATTGTGGACATCACTGCTCTAAACATTGGGGTGCATGGGCCCCTTCGGATCGGCAAGTGTCCTCTTTGGATGGGAAGATTATGACCTGTTTTCTTGGATAATGGTTTTAGAGATATACATCTTTTTGTGCTTCAGTGTGTGGAAATTGACTCCAAAAACATGACAACCAGTGGAAGAGACAGATTTGCAAATACTTAATAATGTAACGCAGCAGATGTTGGGCTGAGATATGTGAAAGTTTCGAGGATGCTCACCAAGAAGGTTCTTTGTCTCTAAAGCACCACTCAGTAAGGGGCTCCCCCCTCCCATCTCTCATCCTTTGCTTTCCTTTTTCATGTAAGGCTTTTCCCCCTTTTTTTTTTTTTTTAAGACTTACTTTTTTTTTTAAGATTTTCTTTAAAAGATTATGAGAGAGAGAGGAAGAGAGAGTGCAAGCAGTGGGAAAGGGCAGAGGGAGAGGGAGAGAGAATCCCAAGCAGACTTCCTGCTGAGTGCAGAGCCCTACAGCCCTGAGCTCATGACCTGAGCTGAAACCGAGAGTTGGACGCTCCAGCAACTGAGCCACCCAGGTGTCTCTCCCCTAATTTTTAAATAGTTTTACTTCACCTCACGTTCTCACCATATCTCTCAGCTCTTTGGCAAAGACTCGCGGGAGCTTGCATAGGCTACGTAGGCCTATCTCAGAAATGGGAGTTTGCCTCTGGGATGGCCCTCAACCAGTAGGGGATGGCCTTCAGTGCACGGATGCCGTCGTTCCCTAGCCTTCAAAGGGACAGTTCTGGGCTGTGTTCTCCGTAGTTCTGTAGAGGACTGAGCCGCCTTCCCCAGCTTGGTATGGTAACCCTCATGGCTTTCCATTCTTCCCTGACTCCTCTTCTTCATCCCTCGCTCGCTCTGGCTCTCTGGACTCACCTTCTGCAAGCTCCCTGCTTTCCAGTGGCTTTTTCCTTGGTTTGCTAGCACATAAACTAAGACAGTTGGTACTAGAAGTGGCTCTAGAAAGCTGACCCTGAGAATAGCTTTGTAAGCCTGGACTCCCTTAGCCTCAGATGGCAGCAAGGACCCGTCTGCGGCTGTCGATGAGCCCTGGTACTCTCCAGCATCCCGGCTGAACGACTCTCGCCAGCAGTGGGTGGGATGTGATTCGGGTGGAGGGGAAAGCTAGAGCGCTAGCACGCGGGCAGGATGTGGACAGTGGTAGTGGTAAGGCAGATGGAGCTGGCTGCCCCTGTCAGCTCTTTTCCGGCCTTGAGGTAAGGTCCTGCTCAGATCAGCCAGCTGTCAGCCCAGGACACACTGTGAGTAACAGGAGGCTCTGTGCCAGCATCTCCTACAGCCAGAGGCCGGGCTGCTGAAAATCAGGCCCAGAATGTCATAATTATGGCAGAACTACTGAGGAGGCTGAATGCACAGCCTTGGCAGGTGGCCTCTGCTAAAGTCGGGGGTGAGACCTGAGCTGGAGGTGTTTGCTGGAAGCACGGAGAACTCTGAACCCCCAGGTTTCATTAGCTCCCTGGGGCCAGCGGAAGTATCTGCTTCTCCTTTCCTGGACGCAGTGCAGAGACCTTGCCCTAGGCTGTCGCCCTGCAGGATGGGACTTACCCTCTTAAGATCTGCGCTCTTAAAAAAAAAAAAAAAAAAGATCTGTGCTCTCCTCCCCATTGCCAAATAGGGACATACAGTCCTTGCTCCTGGACAAAGAGCTTTTGTACAGGAAGAGTCGCAGGACCTGGCTCCTGGGAACCAGCAGGAGCTGGGGGCACACGTGCGCGAGTGACTCTGGAGGGTGCTGGGTGAAGAGTGGGGTAGTGGTGGCCCGTGAAGCTGCTTGGGAGAGGCCGTGTCGCTTTGGGACCACTCACTCAGGGTTCGGGACGTAACGACCTTGCAAAAGCAGCTTGAGCCAGTCCTAGTATGCTGCTGGACAGATTCCTTGGAACTCGGACATGGCCATGGTCTCTACCACCGGTTCTCAGGTAGGGGTGATTTTGCCTCCCCAGGGGTATTTGGCAATGTCTGGATGTAGTTTTGATTGTCAGAACTGGGGGTTCTTTCTGGCTTCCCACAGAAAAGGACGATCTGGCTTGAGATGTCAGTAGTGCCTGGCCTGCAGCAAGTGAGATGCCAGAGCTGTCTTGGGAGAGTGTTGTGGAAGGGATCAGAGGTATAGGGGGGTGGAGATTTGAAATGCATTTCTTTTATTTATTTATTTATTTATTTTTTATTTTTTAAAAGACTTTATTTATTTATTTGACAGAGAGAGATCACAAGTAGACAGAGAGGCAGGCAGAGAGAGAGAGAGAGAGAGAAGCAGGCTCCCTGCCGAGCAGAGAGCCCGATGCGGGACTCGATCCCAGGACCCTGAGATCATGACCTGAGCCGAAGGCAGCGGCTTAACCCACTGAGCCACCCAGGCGCCCCTGAAATGCATTTCTTATTTGAGGCCAGAGATGTACACCTGCCCATGTTCCCCGGAGGACTCACTCCTTTAATTCTGGAATTAACATGGAATGCCCACTGGAGGCCAGCATCTTCGAGAAGCTCCGTGTGGGCCATCCCCCGTAGGCCAGAACGGACTTCAGATCTGATTGTGGAACTGGGTTCCTACATATCCTTGAGTGTGAGAGAGTTCTGAAATAGCGGAGGCTGGGGTGGCGCTGACTGTCTGCGGCGTGGGGGATGAGATCTCCACAACAGCCGGTGAAGCCCGACTTGCAGCCGCGTGTTGATCCACGGGGATGTTAACAGGGTACGGTATCC